TCTCAATAAAACAGGATGAGAACAACAACTAGCAGCTACTCCTTTACAAGCTCAGAAATAGAGACAGAGACAGAGTTGGATTTTTGGAAGGATTACAAAGCCAGGCAGCGATGGGGTCAATCAATTACAAAGCCAACCAGTGGTGGTGACCAGGCCCGTCTGTACCCCCTTGACTGGTCATGACGCGCTGACCCTGGACATGACAAGTCTTATTTTCCATGACTGTTGCCTCGAGTGCTCATCTTTGAAACGGAGAGAGGCCTAGCATAGAGAAACACCCCTCGTGTGAGCTTTCCTATTCCCTTGTGCTCTCCTCCCACATCCTATGTCCTTCCTTCCTCTTCCTTCCATCTTCTTCCTCCTTCCCTCCCTCCCTCCCTCCCTCCCTCCCTCCCTCCCTCCCTCCCTCCCTCCCTCCCTCCCTCCCTCCCATTTCTCCCTTCCTTTTCCTCTTTTTATTTACGTTCCCTGTTTCAGTCTCTTTCACCTAAGGAAATGCTTCGCTCTCCTCTTTCCCGGGAAGGAGTTAAATCCTGTGTGTGATTCCCTTTTGGTGCCTCCAGCTCCGACCCCAGGGCTTAGGAGCCTGGTTCAACAGCAACTTTGGGGGGATGCACTTCCGCACTTGGCCACCAGGGGGCGGGTGCGCGATGCTGTGGTTTTATCAGCGGCTGCAAGGCCCAGCCCGCAGGGCTCGCTGCCTGCGGAGGGGAGAGTGTGCGACAAGGCCTGGGGTCTCCATCTCCCCAACAGCCAGAGGAGGGAACTGACTTTGGGGGAACATGGGCACAGACACAGATAACTGTCCTCAGGATGCGAGTGACTGAGCTGAAAGGTCCCATTCCATTTATCCTTAGACATGGGTGCAGAGTGTGTGTGCATGTGTGTGTGCGTGTGCGTGTGTGTGTCCAGTTCTCCTCTTACTACCTTCGAGTCACTTAAATGTTCTGGGCAACTGTGTCTTCACCTCTAAAACCCTGTGACTGGTGGGCTAGCTGCTCCCTGTGGCTCCTGCCAGCTGAGTATTTCTGCACCCTGAAGGCCGGAGGGGGGGGCGGGTGGAGGGAGTACAGCAGGGGGGAGCCACCAGCGCACTCGCTGGTCCTCCAGGAAGGCATTCCTGATTTATGGCTGGCCTTTGGACTTTGCGAGCCTCCCAACTTTGGGGACCTCCTCCCCCTGTCTTAAGCCTCTTTTAGTCTACTCAGGGTTTGAAAATGCGTTTCCGTCTGGAGCCAGGCATCAGAGCAAACATTCTTGGTGCCTTTCTCCCTGACACATAAATGACTGATTTCTAGGTAAGGCTGTGCCATCTTTTGGTGCTTGTCTTACATGACAAACTCATTTGTCTCAGGTAGCTGGCAAGTGGTGCTGTCAGAGGCTGTGTTTTGGGAGAATGGACTGGAGCAGGTGTCAAAGGCTTGCTGCTCACCACCACTCCCGGCGAGGGCTGTGGAGGCAGAGGGGTCCGCAGAAGACCGGCCCCCAGGGTGTGCTGTGTGCACAGGAGCTGCGACAGGGCTGGTGGGGTGGGGAGGAGGGAGAGTCAAAAGCTGTCAGCGCGGTCACTTAGTAGTCATGATGAGCCTTCTGCTTCTGCTTTGCCATCATGTTGGGAGGTTTGGATTTCTTCTCCCGGTGCCCAGAGACAACAGGTACCTGACTCAAGATCACACAGCTCGTAAGCAGGAGAAACTGAGGCCTCTCTGGCTCTTGGTCCAGATTTCAACTTCCCCACCCATGGCACTGCAGGTTCTTGGGGGATCTGGAATAGGGCTCACCTTTTTTAAACCAAAGGAATAGGATGCTTGTAGTATGAACAACTAACTGGTGACAAACATGACAACCCTCCGCTGTTGTGTATCCTCTGATGCATGTGGGTGCTGTGGCAATGTCTGAGAGGCTATGAGGTACTTGTCTACACCAACAGGAGCGTGGGGGCAGGTGGGAGCTAGCTGGAGGTTCCGATAGACAGCCATGGTGGTGGGTGGTGGGAACTAGTGGGGCTTGCTGTGGAACCGCAGGCAGGGCAGCTCCTGAGATGACGTGGGGATGGTGACACTTGATGAGGTTGGTTTTAGAAGTGCCCCTCTCTATCTCTGGGGCTGGGAGGTGAATCCCGGACGTACAAGCGCCAGGAGAAAAGGAGACCAGAGTTTCTTAGTACAGCTGAGGGCCTCCACTCCAGGTCAGAGGCAAAGTATGCAGATGGAAGAGGTGGCCCCCAGTGCCCCAGCCTGGAGTGGCTTTGTGGAAGTCTGTTTTGTTCACGGCTCATCCCCTGTACCCAGAGCAGTCCCTGCATTTGACGTGTCCTCAGCAAATACTGGTGTGTGCCTGGAGAGACCCCTGGCCTGAAAGTCAGAAGACCCGAGTTTGAGTACTATCTGCAACTGCTTGCAAAATAATCAGAACCTCTCCCAACATCAGACCCTCTTATCATCAAAGGGATCTGGATCTGAGGGTTAGTGCCCTCAGGAGCGGCCGTCTCATGAAGGCCTACAGGGTCTGCGGCAAGGTGCAGAGGGGCCAGGCTCCACAGCCAGCAGCTCGGCCAGGTTGGTGGGTGGAAACAATTTCCTGAGCATCTCACAGAGACATTCGTCTCCTTCCTCCCTGGAGGAGCCCATGTGGGTACTCATGGTGCTGGGCACCTGCTTTCTTGGAAGGTTCTGAGAGAAGGAGGGTCTGGAGCAGAAGATTCAGTGCCTTGGCTGTCAGCTTCCTGGTGTACAGCCCTCCTCCCCAGCTGCCGGCGAGACTTCTCTGCCAACCCTGCTGCTGGAGGAGGGCTGGAGCCCGTCACCAGTGTCACACACTGATACCTGGGAGGGGAAAACTGGGGAGGGAGGGAGGACGCCCTAGGGTCTATGAGTCTAGGATGCCTTACCGACACTGGTGGGACTTAGGCAAAGTATCCAACTGCTCTGAGCCTCAGTTTCCTCATTTGCAAGTGGTGATAAATAGTATCCCAGCAACCTGTAGGTTGCTGGGAAAACTGAAAACAGTGAATGAAAGAGCCTGGCACTTCGTGCTTAATGAAAACAGCGATTACTCAAAGGGCGGCCTGTTACTGGGGCAGAGGGGCTGAGTGGAAAGGAGACTGTAAGACCAAGTGGGGAGGGAGCAGTGGAGTGTCCAGTATCTGGTCCCCTCACTCTCCTCCCCTGGGGCTCACTGACATCCCAGAACTCCCCTTCTCCCTTCCTCCTTCACATGTGGCCATCAGGGCCTCATGCCCTGGAATGTAGGCCCTGTGATGCAGGAACATAAGCTAGAGGTGTGTGCCTTCCATTCCGATGCTATAGGAGAAAACACCGGCCCACGAATCCTTCCAACTGCCCTCCAGGGCTGCTGGCATGTGCCTGGTTTTGGAAATGTGGTCTCTGAAGCTCACATTAGTGAATTAGCCAAGGTCCCACAGAGTCAGAGGTGGCGGGGGGGGGGGGGGGGGGGATGGGGGATGCTGCAATTATCCATGTTGCTGCCCTGGGAGCCCCACTCTGGGCCCTGGGGGCAGAAACTGAGCCCTGGGGTCCCAGGTCCTTCACTCAGCATGTCCTGCAGTGAGGGTGTTTGCTAAGTGCTCTTGGGAGATGCAGCTGAGGGGAAGGAGAGATTTGGGAAGACCAGGAGAAGAGCCATAAGCACTTACCATGTGCTGGAGACTGTGGGGACTTCATTATGAGCTGCCCTCATGGCTCTGTTATGAAATCGGTTGCATTCTCGTCTCTACACAGACAGGGAGACTGAGGCACAGAAGCGTCATAGCTAGTGAGCAGCCGAGCCATAATTGCAAATCCAGGCCGCGGGGTCCCAGAGGCCACACACTTAACCTATCATTTGACTGCCTCTTGAGAGTTCAGGCCGAAGAGAGCCATGAAGAAGATTCTTACTGGGAACTCTGGAATGGCACTTAGCTGGGAGCCTCAGCAGTCTGGGGTGGGGGAGGGAGATGGGGTGTTTGTGCTCAAGGGCAGTGGGTCCTGGGGGCTGGGACTTAGAGCCAGGTTGGTGCTCCTTGGTTTCCACTCTCAGCATCTCTGGCTGTGGAGGACTTCCTGCGCTTGGGAGGAAGGGTCTGCTCCAGGCTGTTGGCCTTCCCCTGGTTTGTTCCTTCAGAAAACATCTCTGGTGCCCTCACGCCTGTCCCAAAGTCACCAGGCCCCCCCAGCCCCTAGCTCTGCCCCTGAGATGCTCCTGGTGTGATGAACCTACAGAATTACACCTGTCTGTGAACCGGGAGGGACTTGGCGCAGGGGTGGGGAGGGGGAGCATGCTGCACTGACCGCTTTGCAGGGGAAGTCTTGGAAAGCTGTGGGAGTGCGGTGGGTGGGGTGCGGGGAAGGTGACATTGGGGCCCGGACTTGAGATGGGGGTTTGGAGGCAGCGAGGCAGGACAGGCTCAGAGTCCTTGGCCTGCTGGGGGATGGGGCGGGCATGGGGGGCATTTACTCCACGCGCGCAGGGGAAGGGGGTCAGGGGCGGAGGCTATGGCTCGCACGTGCCCCTGGGGGACTCTCCCCACGAGGGGCCAGGCTCGGGCCAGGCTGTCTTCCTCCCTGGGCGCAGCGGTTGTGGGTTGTGGGAGGGGAGGGAGGCACGCAGGTGACAAAGCCGCCCTGAAGGGCACGCGCCGTCGCGCGACGGTCCCGCACCTGGGCGCGCCCCCCCCCCCCCCGAGCTCGGTGCGCGCAGCGGGGATGGGTTAGGGGGGTCCCGGGGGCCGTGTGGGGCGAGCCCCGGGCCCCCTTCCCGACCTCTCCCCGGGCACCCCCGCGAGCGACCTTGGGCGGGCCGCGCGCCCGCTCCCCCCGGGCCTCAGTTTCCCGATAGCGCCCCGGGGGGGGCGGGGCGGGGCGCGCGGACCGCGGGCGGCGCCAGGACGCCCTTGGCGGGGCCCCCCGAGGCGGGGGCGGGGCGGGGGCGGGGCGGGGCGCGCAGGCGCAGGCGCGGCGGGCGGGGCGCGGGCCGGGCTCGGGGAGAGCGCGGGGCGGCGCGCGGCGAGCGGGTGGCGGCGGAGCGGGGCTCGCCCGGGAGCGCTGCAGGCTCGCCCAGGGCCCGCGCCGCTGCTGCTCGGCCCGCTGCGGGGCGGCGGGGGCCACCCGGGACCGGCCCCCACCCCTTGCCCGCGTGTCCCCGCTGCCGCCGCCTCCGGGCCGACCTCCCGGCTTGGCTCCGCCGCGCCCCGGCCGCCGCGCCGGGCCCGGGTTGCGCGCCGCTGGGGCGCGGGCGGGGTCGGGGAGTGCGGGGGCCCGGCGGCCGGCGAGCATGGAGGAGAAGTACCTGCCGGAGCTGATGGCGGAGAAGGACTCCCTGGACCCCTCCTTCACGCACGCTCTGCGGCTGGTGAACCAAGGTGAGGGCGCACGCCGGCCGCCCCAACCGTCGCCCGGGGCCGTTGGGGTGCGCGGGGGCGGGGGCGGGGAGGGATGCGCGGCGCTCGGGGGGCCGACCTGGGGCGGGCGGGGCCCCGGGGGCGAGCTGGGGCCGGCTGGGTGGGGACCTGGGGCAACGTGGGGCGCCTGCGGGGGCGGGAGCCCATGCGCCCTTGGGGGGCTTGGCGCGGGCGGGGGGCGCACAGGCTGGGGCGCTCGGATGCGGCTTGGAGCCCTGCGGGGACGCGAGGGGACCCGAGGGGAGCTTGCGGGTGCGCGTCGGCCCGCGTCCGAGGGCTTGGCCAGGGCGCGGGGGGCGGGGGTTGAAGGATCTCATTGGAGGGGAGTTTGTGAGGGACTCGGGGACCCTATAGCGCGCTCGAGTTGTCCAGGGAACTGTAGAGAAAAGAGCTGGAGCAAAATGGAAGGATGTGAGGGGATGAAATGCACACGAGGTGAAGAAGGGAACAGGTGCTTGGATTGTTGGTGAAGTTTGAGGACCTTGTGGGGGAGGTTTGGGGTCAGGGCATCTCGGAGTAGAGGGACCCCGCGGTCCGCGTGGCCGAGCCCGGCTCGTCTGCTCTCCTCCTCCTCCTCCTCCTCCTCCTCCTCCTCCTCCTCCTCCTCCTCCTCCTCCTCCTCCCACGCCAAGGCTGGAGCCACCCTGGCAGGTGGTCCGCCCTCCCCGGGGCCGGGCAGCTCCCGCCGAGGCTGGCAAGCTGGCCCTCGGAGGGGTTGGTGGGAGAGAAGAGGCCCACGCAGTTGCCCCCTTCTTGGCTTGCTTGGCTTCTCTTTGGGAGGCTCCGGGGGGGGGGGGGGAGGGTCGCCCTCCCTGGGGGCTGGCCGCTTAGGGATCGGGAAGACCGGGCAAGGAGTCTTTGCTGCCTGTGCCCTTTCAGCGCTGCCCCCGCCGGTTCAGGGTGTGAACAGTCCTGCAAAGTACGGGGCGCCGGGGATCCAGGAACCTATGGAGGCGAGCCTGCCCGGGACAGGATTTCCTGGCTCGTTCTCTCCCTCCAGCCTCCTGAGTAATCTGGGATGGATGGTAAATCAAGCCTCCCTTCCCAGGAGCAGTCCTCACTTCCTTCTGTATCCGTTAATCCGTGTTTCGGATCAAGATGGGTTTGGGGGCCACTGGTCTGTTTTGTGTGTGTGTGTGTGTGTGTGTGTGTGTGTGTGTTTCCCCCCTCTGGGTGATGGCAGAAACATTATCTGGTCAGATCTGTTACCTTTTGCCTGGATCACTCAGTGCAGTGACAGTTTGTGGTTCCCGAGTTAAATCGGCTCTGCTGATCTTAATGCTGGCTCTGGCTCTTTTATTGTTGGAAGTGAAAGATGAGGCAGACATATTCTATTTGTATATAGATATCTATTTTTTAAAACAGCAGCCTCCAGCATTCGGCTGTTCCAGCCAGTTCTTCGGAGTAGGGTGTGTTGTCCGCTGATGGTGGTAGCGGGGAGGCTCGGTGTCTCCAAGAATTGAAGCGTGCATGCTGTTTGAATGGTTGAACAGAAATCTGTTTACAGAGCTTTCCCATTTCAATTGCAGGCTTTTTTTTTTTAATTTCTTTAATAAAGTGGGCTTGTGAAAAAGTAATGGGCTCACATTCTTAAATCAGAGAAAAAGAATTTAGAGCTTTGTTCCCATGCTCTTCTGAACAGTTCTGCAGTTAGGTTTGTACTCCTTGCTCTTCATGATTTACATATATCTTTTGTTGCCTGCTGGGCTGTCATTTCTGTGAAAGAAATTTCTTTGTACGTTGTGTGAGATCAGTGGCATTAGCAGTATTCTAGATTGTGGAATCAAGTGCGTTGTTTTTTTTTAATAAAGAAGCTGACAAAGTTATGTTGTATTCAATTAAGGAAACAGCTTAAAAGTGTGATGAGTTATCTTATTTTGAAACTTAGAATTTTTTTTTTCCTCTGTGCCATATTGCCATAGTACTGTGTTGCTAACATGTTAAACATTCCTTTGGTTTCTATGTTTCTCCTATAGCATTAATGGCCTCTAGTTACTTAGAACAGATATTGGACAATGTTGCCATTTACTATTTTTTTTTAGATGTTAAATCTGATTACCTTACTTTTCCATAAAAAAATGTGATTTGGGTAAGAAGTGCATTTTTCACATTGAACAGTTCTATGAAAGAAGGAAAAGGTGCTAGTTGGATGCTCTCTTTACTGTTAATTTAGATTACTTCAGACTAAAATGTTTTGCCCTTAAATTATAAGCTGATAACCAGAATGCAAAGCCCTATCGTTTAAAATATTAATCGTGCTCAATTATGTAACTCCAGAATTACAAGCACATTTTTAAAATAGTGTCTCAAGTCTGAATTTGAAGGGTTAATTAGAAAGCTTTGATTTTGAATCTGATTACCATCTTGTTATTGGCTACAGTAAAGCATTTTTAGTTTTATTTAGCTACAGTTTTGACTCTTTGCCTTGCAAAGAAACTCTTTTTTTTCAGAGTTTATTCTGAATTTCAATGCATTAGCGTTCCAGCACTAACTTGTACAGTGATGATGGTCCGCCGTGAATGCAATACTTTATGTTTTCGTGGAGTGTGTGCAAGTTTCCAAGGCTCCTTACGGTACATGATGCCCAGTTCCTGTCTAACACTTGCACTCTTATCAGATCGACACCGATGTCTCCATTTTTCTGGGGAGGCAGCTGAGGAACCCAGCTACTCAAGCTTGTGGGCAACTGAGATTTAATTGGAACTCAGGTCTTCCAACTCCTAAGGCCAGTGTTCTTGTTACTTAAGCCTTCCTGCAAAGATAGAATAAAACACTTAGCATATGCTAATTTAAAACCCCGCACAGAAATCAGTAGCATTAATATGCTTGTTTCTGGTTGACTTGTCTTGATTTTTCTAAAAAAGTTTCTTTCTATACTTGATTAGTGGTCTTTTTGAAGAAACAAGCATTGGTAGCAGATTTATCCTGCAGGATTTTAATGCTCCGGCCAAGAGGCACTTCTGAATTAAAGCCCTCCTGTGACCAGTTTATTACTTTTGTAATCAACACATTATGCTAATGAAACAGTTTATAAATGAGGTGTTGCCGTTTTTTTAAAAATTCGGTAGTTGTAAACATTGATCAACCCCCTAGCTGAATTATTTTGTTTCTAGTAATCTTTAAGTAAGAACTTGAGCTGGGATGACGTCAAGATATATGCTCCCGTGCTAATACAGGTCGGCTTTTATACCTTTTCCAGGCTTGTGTTTCGCAACGGGTGTTAGTTGCTGACTTTTTATTTTCTCAGGCTAACCCCCCTCCCCCCCCAGCTCTCCAAATACTAAGTACTTTTGTTTCTCTACCAAATGTAATGATTAATGTTTGCTTGCTGTTAAAACTGAATCAAAGAAGATAGGCCTTGGTATCAGCCCTTTCTCCCACTCCCATGCCTGTAGAGTGAATTGACGTTGCCGTTTCTTGCCAAGGAGGTTAATTGGAGATGAAAGTAGCATCCCATGTTTTGTATTATATTTGCTAGGATGGGATGTGCTGACTCTTACTAAAAACATCTTTAGAAATGTCTTATGCATTATAATTTAATCCAGCTCTCTGGTACTGCTTTGGATGGTTTTCAATCCAAGCCAAGTAACCATTAAATAAGATTACATAACCCTGTATTTTTAATTATCTGATATAATATATGGATTGGTGGCTGGTTCACTGCCAAGTTATAGTTAGTGGTTGGTTGCAAGAGGAAGTGGAGCAAAGAGTTCAAGATTAAGGTGGTCTGTTTGTATCCAGATTGATAAAGTTCTCTGTTGATATTTCAGAATAATAATTTTTCGTCTTACATCAGTTTTTCTAATACCAGTCCTCAGCATTACTCAGGATATATGTGAGGGGTAAAAATGTATAAAGGGAGCATCATTACTTAGCCCCATGTGCTGCGTCTCTTTGTTCAACAAAACCTGACGGCTTAAAGTTTCATTTTTGGTGACTGCTTTTGGAAAACATTTGTGATTTGCTTGAATGTTGTCAGACATGTAGAGTAAGAGAGACAAATGAGAATGGAAATTGCAGAATTATATTTAGATGTAGTGTGTGATTCTCTGTTCCATCCAAAGGAGGATGTGGCTTTTCAGTTGTTAATTGTTTTCTTAGGTTTTCCAGAGTTTTTGTTTGTTTTTCAGAAGACAGTGGATGGGATGCCTCACATGTTTCGGTAAACCATTTCTGAGTTTCCTGCAGTGTGTTATGATTTGAAGTGATCCAGTGATTGTGGGTTACAGTGTTTTGGTATTTGGTCCTCAGTGACATGTTTGTTTACAACCTGCCATGGCAGGTGATGGGGCTGGGTCCTGGAGGTCGTGGGGCCAGAACATAGGCTCTGCACCTGAGAAGTGAGTGTTCTCATATATGGTCATTGGGGAATGAGTGTCAAGTTTATCAGTGCCCTCTTCTTTCCTAAGAATGTCTTCAACTATCTTTCAACTGTCCATTTGAAGTGCTGAGTGACCAGATGGTTTAACTCAGCCAGCCTGGGTTCTACTCTGTGCTGGGTCTTGTCTGCAATCTGAATACTCTCACAGCCCGGAAATGTAGAGGTTATCGGCCCAATGTTTCAGTTGGAGAAACTGAGACTCCAATAGCTAAAGTGACTTACCCAGGGTGACATACTTGCCAAATGTCCCAGTGAAGGAAGGTGCAAGCTTTGCTCCTTCCCGAACCACCCTGGCCCACAGAGGGATCGGGTCCAGCTGGGATGCCAGTTAATGGCTGGAATTGAAAGGCAAGTTATATCACATCCCTTTTTGTACCTTGCCCTTGGAATTTCTGCTGTAAGGGATTTCCTGTGACCACATCCATCCCCTCCAAATGGATTTAGATGGCTCATTTTTCCCCAGAGCAGCCAGTGTGAACCTCTCTGATGGTGTGATTGTCCTCACCCTACATTCTTTGGACCTCTGTCTTCCGTGGGAGAGTGTCAGCTTCTGGGCAGGCACGGCCTGGGCTTCCATGTC